TTCATCAAGCAATGCCTTTCCATAGTTTAGACAATAAAAAAGAGTAACTTTTGAAGTCACACGGCGCAATTATTCTATCCTCATGTACGAGAATACAATAAAGAAGCAGGTTTTATAGTGAAATTCACTTCGAAATAGACAACACAAAACCTAACATTGGGACCCATCATAATCCGCAACCCATCAAGCAAGATCATCTACTCGTCCCTTTCCACAGTTTAAGACCAGGAAAAAGACCCCAATTCCAATAACCACTCATCTTGATCTTACTGCTCTACATAACAATTTCTGAAAGTTAGAAGAAGTAGTGGGATGAAACGGGGCAAATTTCAGTACCTGGGAGCGACTGACAGCTTGGTCATTGGAATCATCAGATTCATTACCCATGAAATCATAATCAGCATCATCACCGTCACTATCCAAAGCATCACCGCCATAGCCATCACCGTCACTGTAGAAATCCTCATCCACCGACTCCATATCATTAGCATCGTGCATATCATCCTCAGACTCCATCGCAGTTCAACCCCTATAGATGATCAAACCAAAGGGAAACACCCAATTGCAGCTAAAATTGATGCTAAAAAAACCTAAAAGCGAGAGGTAAATAGGGCACCTTTTGGAGAGGGTGAAATTGGGGGAAAAAGTAGGTTGATTATGGTGTGGGGAAAAGGGGAGATTAGGAAATTGATTTTTTGTAGAATTGTTATTGTTATAATAAAATAATAATGTTTGAAAGGGAACAGTTGTCGTGTCCAATTCCAAAGTCCACAAAGGAAGTGAGAATGTGTGGTTTGATTAGAAAGGGGTTTAAATAGGAGAGAAGGAAAGGGCTTTAGAAGTTTGGTGGGGGTAGATGAAAAATTGGGATGTTTAGTGGTTTTTCCCCTCTCAACATACTTTCTTAAACAGGCTAGTAATAAAAGTCTTAAGAATTACTATAATTAATTAAATGCCACACTAATTATATATTTGCGTATTTAAATTTTTTACGCATTAAAAGGAATTGACTTAATTGAGTAGAGTTCATGAAACTAGGGGTAGAGCCGTCAATATGGGCTTAGTCCGTTGGGCCAGCCCAACCCAGCCCGTGATTTAGCAGGGCTGGGCTGAAATTTTTGGAGCCCGTTTAAAAATGAGGCTTTTAAGCCCGGCTCGAGTAAGCCCGTGAGGCTTGACTGAGGCTGGGTCGGGCCGGCTCGTGGGCCTAATAAAATATTTATTTAAAATATATAAAAAAATAAAAAGTATACTGCCTTTAGAGATGGAAAGTCAGAATTGGATCTTTACTAAGAGGAAGTAAAACTTGATCTTGAGAAATTTCAAGAGATGATGTTGTCATGTATTGGAAGGACCATTCTAGAAAATATCCCGATCTTTCAATAATAGTGCGCGATGTACTTAGCATTCTTATTACCATTGTACCATCGGAATCACCATTTAGCATTGGTGACGTGTTCTTACAAAGTACATAAGTTGTATTTATTATGAAAATGTCCAAACACTTGTTACTACTTGAAATTGGCTGCACAGGTTTTCCCGAACTCAAACTGGTAATATTTTTTTATGTGAATTTAAATATTATTAATTTTTAAAATTTAATTATTTTTAATATTTAACTAATTAATATTGCATATGAATTATAGATGAAAGTGAAGATGTTAAGACAACCTTGTCACAAGCGGATTCAAATGTGTTTGATGAAGATGATGTGTTAGATATCTCATAAGCATCATGAACGTTCTCTTGAATAGTTTGTTTTAAGTTTTGACTTTTAGTGAATGAAATATAGTCCTTTCTTTTACTTGGTTTAGTATTTATTGTGATATATTGGAACAATACAAAAAGTTATTAAGTTTTGCGAATTTTTTCCAATAAGATATTTTTTAACTTTCAAATAATTATCTTTTTTTAGGTCAGAACTTAAAGAAAATATATAAAATTATATTTTTAAAAATGATGGGCCGGCCCGTGGGGGCCCACGGCCCACATAGGACTGGGGTGGACTGGCCATTATAAGGCCCATCAAAATAGTGGGCTAGCCCAGCCCAGCCCGTCAATTGCTAAAGTCCATGTGGGCTGGGCTGGGCTAGCCCGGCCCGGCCCATATTGACAGCTCTAACTAGGGGTATAATTTTTATTTTCATCTTCGGTTAGTTTAAAAAAAAAAAGATAAAATAAAAATTTGAGGATGCTTACAGCTTGTTTGGATGGTTGTTACCTATTGTATCGTATCGTATTGTTACTTTAAATACGATGTTTGTTTTGGTTGTTACTTAAATTTTATTGTATCGTATCGTTAAATCCGTCGTTACGTAACGACGAAATGTGTCACTTTATGTAACGACCGATTTGGTGTGGTTGCGTCGTTATCTTGTCTTTTTCTCTCATCTCACCCTTCATTATTATTAAATAATTTTATTTTATCATTTACCCTACCTTTTTATATAACAAATTTACCATGTATCATATTTTTTCTTTATAATATTGTAAGTTTATTCTTCATACTGCTGGTGTGTGATATCAAGAAACAACATCAAACGATACAATCTAACCAAACATTGTATTCATCAAATGATATATTACAATACAATACGATACGATACATTATGAAACGATGTGTAACAATCATCCAAACAAGCTGTTAGTGGTCAGCAATGTTTTAAAAGGCGGGGGCGTGAGACGAGGCATTTTACCTCTGAGGAGGCGAGACGTAAGCCCTGAGACATGGGGCATAAGTCTCACAGATCTTTAAATTTTACTAATTTCAAGAATTTTAAGATGGTATAAAATAAAAAATAATTATAAAAATTACTTAAGATCACAAAATTATAACAAATAATCTATTTAAAATATTTATAAATTATAATTCAACTATGAATAAAACGAAAAACATGACATATATCATAATATGCAAATTAACTGCAATGTCGTTACAACTCAAACATCAAAAGTAATGTATTCGATATGAAATCTTATATGTATCTCTTAAGGAATAAAGAATCTTGAAAGAATTTTGATATTATAATTTGATATTTTTCTTAAAATACTCCTTTTTATTTAACATGCTTTCTATTTGAAAGAGAATTTACATAAAAACATCATTCACAATTTAAATATGATTCTCTAGCATCATTTATTTTTAAGTTTCAACACGTTAATAAAGTGACACATAATTCACCATACAATATCAGAGCCTAGGAATTTTCGGGAAAATATGTAATAGATATGAAATATTCAACATAGATATGAAGCTTTTGGAATGGAACTGAGAGAAATAAGTACTAAAAGTACTAGACTTGAAGAGGTAGATATACCTCAAAACCTTGATTTATTAAATAAATGGACAATTCCTAAAGTTTCTATAAAAACCATTTATGATTATGGTTGGTTTGATAAACTTTCTTCTAAACAATTGATAAAAACGACTGAACAGTCTTTAGCATTAAATTCGTCTGAACAAACTATTCGTTTGTTAAACAAGCATGATATAGATTTATATAAACATCATTACCATTATGTGCATATTGGTATGGTTCAAATTGC